GTCGGCTGCCATAACGACTGGAAGAAACGTGGACTAGGTTAGGAAGAACGCCACTTCAAATAGCAAACTATCTAGGTCGATCTGTGAGAGATAATCAACCGGTAGACAGGAATAAAATGCGTTATAGGTCCGTGTTAAAATACTACGGAAGCTTCCTACTTAATGTGTCGTTCAGTTAGAAAATAAAGGTGTTAGATATTTGATAAAGGTGCATCTACTGGGCTATCAGTCATAATCGTTTAACTTTTTGGTGTTAGTTGAGCGCGATTGCGCGCCTGGCCCCGCCATATTTGCGCTCTGCTTCAGCCCACCCACACACCTCTGCGCGGCTGTCGCCCAGCGCTGGCTGCGGCGGCCGTGACCGGAGGGGGTGTGCTCCGCGGAGGGGGGGGGGGGGTTCCGGTGCCCCGCGGTGGCGGGGAGCGCCGCCTGCTCCGGCCGCCGGCAGCTGGACGTCGCGCCGCCGCCGGACGCCCGGCTGGGAGAGGTGTGAACACCGGTCGAATGTCAATTGCCGCACGTCGCCAGTCTAACAAAGGGGCACTGGGCCTACCGGCCGGCGCGAGCCCATGCATGCATGCATGTACATACGTCCGCCGGTCAGCAGAACATGATAAATACCACCCGGGGTACAATCGGCGGGTGTCGAGCTCCTCGTCCGACGCCACTCGGCTGCGGCGAGCGCGCCGCTTGACACCATCGGAGTACAGCAGATTTATCTCATGGCCGAGGACGATGTATCGACGGATGCAAATGGCATGGCGATTGCCACCTCGCACGTGCCGGCTTCCGTTCGGCGGCTGGAGAAATCCGCAGGGGGCGTGTGAGTCAAACCCGGATCTCATGGAGCGCTGGCAGGTGGCGAGACTGGTCGCCGCTATTAGACTCTGATTACATCGTAGCGCTTACGGCTTACGCAGCTCACGCCGCCAGGTGGCAGGGGCCGCGCTCGAATCTTTGTCCAACTGCGGTGGAACTATTCTCGGAAAGCTACTGCCACCACAGGAAATGATGCTTCGAGCCGATGAGAAGCGTCGGACGTTGGTGCCGGAGCTTGTGTCCCTAAAAGCTGGAGTCATTCGTTTAAATATTGTTGGCTGTAACGGTCGTACCGTTTCCACGGCGCCCCGTCCTGATACGCCTCTGGCCGTCGTCAGACGTTAGTTGGCCCTAAAGGGGGGGGGGGGGGGGGCCTGAGAATGGCCTTGGGACGTTTGGCCTATATCACGTGTGTATCTCAGGGTTTGCAATTTCCGCTAGCTTCGGACTTTGAACTTACGATCTTACGATTTGCAACACGCCGTTTTAACCATGACAACAGCGATGCTGCGATGCCGCCAGAAGCAGTGATAATGAACTTAATATCCTGAGGTGCATATCTTGCATGCCCAGTTTACATCTGACGTTGTCAAGAGAAGTAATTGACGACACGCTGCGTATACAAGTGTTATGAGCGAAGGCTTTAGGCAAAATAATTTTACACCTGCATTACTGCATTGTTCCGAACATTCTCAAAGGCTACGACGTTTTGGTGTAACTTTGTAAAGAACGTCATGCAATCAAGCACGCATTGTGAGCAAAACCGGCATGTTGTTTGAAATGTTCTGCCTTACCCAAGATGTCAAAGAAATGGTACGTGTATAGCGCCCGTCCACCAGATCACTTTGCCCTCGACCCTTTTAGTGACGTGGCTGACCTGTGACGAACTCGATGTCATGGGGGCGCCGCTTGACTTGTCCAACGACAGTCCACCGCGCGTAACATTTGCCGATCAAGATGTCAGTTTGTTCCTCTAATAGTTGACACCGCAGGGATAAAAAATATGTGCCTTCCCATTCAGCACTGAACAAAATATTACAGAGGGAAGTCGCCACAATTTGAAAGATGCCGTCCAAACGCGACAGAGCGCAGATATGTCAGCGATGCGAGGGAGGCTAAGGATTTCGGCCCAATGTAGTTGATGGGCCAGGCTGTGTTGATCGTAATGCAAATCATGTTGCCAGGCAGACCGTAGGCAAGGGAGCGTACATAATGTTGCAACAGGAGAGGGATGGCACAACTCAACATTTCATTGAGCACGAGTCTCACACGAGAAAACGTTCTTGCAGGGCGTATAACAACACCGGATGTTTTGAATATACTTATCCGTAAGTGTCCATTACCATTCTTAAGCTGCTGTCATTGATTCACTTGCATATCGATGCAAGTTAAAACGTGGTAATGAGGCACATGTGCTGGTTCCTCCACCGTGGAATACACCACAGATTGCAGCTTTCGAGAGGTCTGAGGTTGCTGAGAGGTTTTTGAGAAGTTTTTAAGAATGGTAAGCTGAACTCGTTTCCCTCTTGGTTAACGACAGTTTTGGTTGCAACGTAGCTCGATATCTGGAACGGGGACCGCAACTTTCAACGCCATGGGACCCCAACTTTCAACACAACGTCGTGTGCATATGTCAGGCCCGGCTCGGGCCGCTCATTCGACATAACTTAACACAACATAGCGGTAATGCACGTGCATCGGTGTCGGTGGGGACTCCCAGGTAAGCACGGCGTCCGATTCGCATCGTGGCAAGACAGACAGACTGATTTGTGGACGGGGATGCGCTCAATGTCCTGGCGTTCGCCTCCAGCGCAGGCACAGACCGCTGGACGGTGTGGGCTGCAGCGCCGCGGCACAGATGCGGCACCGTGCACTACTCCCGGCGCTGGACTGACCGCCACGTCAGTGGAGCCAGGATGGTTGGTGATGTCACGGCGGAACGGGCGGGCACGCTTGACGAGTCTCTTTCTCAGAGCATGCGTTTTCATGTGCGAGTGTTTCTTGTTTTTGCTGCTGCTCGGTTTGAATAAGGGCAACTTCACCTAGCAATGACCATTTCAGGGTTGTGCGATGAAGGAAAATGGACAGCGTGGGGCAGGATGATATGCATCTGGGAGTCCTCCACAGCCGAGACTTGCCGCGGGCAAAGACCCTCCTTCGCTGTTTGTGCGGGCGCTCGGGCGGTGCTCCCTTCACGGAGCGCTGCAACCCTCTGATGGGTGATGCACGCAGGTTGCCCCGGATAAGCGGAGTGTTGCGGGGATGTCGGCTGAAACCGCGCACGAGGAAAGACGGTCCGGCGGGCATCGGTACCTCATCAAAGCTGGAGCGTCCGCGGCCGTACTCGTCTTGTCAGCGTGCCGATGGGCTGAGCTGGGCTCAACGCGTTGAGAAAATCCGGATCTAGCACCAACGGTAGGCACAGTAAGTGAAGGGAGCATGGAGTCTCAGAAGGTACGAGGCTCAGACAACAAAGGCTGAAGCGTAGCCTGCAGATGGCATGCAGCCTAGCCACGGAAGCATGCGTAGAGGTGGCCTGCGTCTAAAATCGCCCATCAGGCTTCGTGAAAGGAAAAACTAGACAGAAATGCAAATGGGCTCGGCTGTTGTAAAGGGAGTCAGCTGCCTGGGCCGCCAGACTGCCACTCGTCATTCTGTATTTGGCAGCCCCGAGCGAGGAAGGCCACCCGCATCGGCTAAGCACGCCTTGTTCGCAGTGCTTTAGAGAGCGTATGGCCCCGTGCACAAGGGCACCGGGCGAAGTCGGACAATGGCGTGTGCATCCCTGAGTGCACATGCCAAGGACTGGCAGTGGCAGGCTGACAGCCGGCAAGCTAAATCCGAGCAATGCTCCCCTTAAAAAGCCACTGATTTCCATAAAATGGTGCTACGTCTGTCGCTGTGGGAAGCTGGGGACGGAAGCCGGAATGACGTGTCCGAGTCTCCGCTAGCACTGTTCTGGGCTTATGCTACCCATCTGAGCTTTTATACCCGACAAAGTGAAAAATCGTCGCACATTTCGCAGGCCGCTAGCTACTTGGGTGCTACTAGCTACTAGCTACTTGGATTGGAAGACAGCAAATAGGACAATACTGTTTATTAGATCAAGTACGCATTCCTTCACATCCATTCAGCCGTCGTGGTCACAAGCACACAAATGTGTAGGTTGTTCACATCAAGATGGAATGGTGCCGTTGAAAGTGAACAAAGATTTAGGCACGTCGTGAGAGCACATTATTATCAATTATATATTTATCACAAAAATAGAACATTCAAGCATACGTCAAGGTGAAAAATGGAATGTTTCATATCCAATCTCTGCAACAAGTTCATACTTCAATGGCTTCACGCATCTATCTATAAAATCAAGCTCGTATCATCGCACGGGTGTACACGATGCCACTTTAGGCCAAACACGTGTGCAACCATCAAAGTGTAGGAAGTGAACTCGCATCGTTCGAAACCTCCTGAAGAGGGCATGGCCTTCATGGAGTGCGTCACGAATCGTGACCTGGTGGATTACGTTGGGCTTCTTGTAACTCCACGGTGGCCGTACGCTATCACAAACGATCTATCCATGGCGGTCGCATGAAGCGGCGGCGTCGCCCGAGGGCGCGGTGGCGTCGCCCAAGGGCGCGGCAGCGTTGCCCGGGGGCGCGGCGGCGTCACCCGAGGGCGCGGCAGCGTCGCCCGGGGGCGTGGCGGCGTCACCCGAGGGCGCGGCAGCGTCGCCCGAGCGCGCGGCAGCGTTGCACGGGGGCCGCGGCGACGTCACCCAAGGGCGCGCAGCGTCGCCCGGGGCGCGGCGGCGTCGCCCAAGGCGCGGCAGCGTCGCCCGAGGGGCGCGGCGGGCGTCGCTCAAGGGCGCGGCAGCGTCGCCCGAGGGCGCGGCGGCGTCGCCCAGGGCGCGGCAGCGTCGCCCGAGGGCGCGGCGGCGTCGCTCAAGGGCGCGGCAGCGTCGCCCGAGGGCGCGGCGGCGTCGCCCAAGGGCGCCGGCAGCGTAGCACGAGGGCGCGGCGGCGTCGCTCAAGGGCGCGGCAGCGTCGCCCGAGGGCGCGGCGGCGTCGCCCAAGGCGCGGCAAGCGTCGCCGAGGGCGCGGCGGCCTCGCTCAAGGGCGCGGCAGCGTCGCCCGGGGGCGCGGCGGCGTCGCCCAAGGGCGCGCAGCGTCGCCAAGTGCCGGTCAGGCCAGCAGGTGCCTCCGCATGTGCAGGCTCAGGTGGTCGGACCTGGCGAATGCCCGCTCGCACAGGCGGCACGCGAACGGCCGGTGTCCCGTGTGCCGTCGGAAGTGACGCGTCAGCTCGTCGGAGCGGGCGAACCGCCAGCCGCACCCCTGCCACGCGCACGGGTACGGTCGCTCGCCCGTGTGCGTCCGCTGGTGCGCCTTCAGGTGCGAGGACTTGATATAGCTCTTGGCACAGCCCGGCTGCGGGCATGTGTGCGGGTTGCTCTTGTGGCCGCCGCGCCGCCGGCGGCGCGGCAGGCGGCTGCTGGCGGTGGCCTCCGGCGGCGGCGGGGTTCGGAGGGATCTGCGAGCGGCCGGCGCGGTGCGCGGAGCGGTTGTGGAAGCGGCTGAGGCGCGCGGCTCGGCGGCGCAGAGCGCGGCGCGAGAGCAACAGTCGAGCTGCGCGGTGGTGTCGTCATTAGGATGCCGCCGGGGCGGCGGGTTCGGCTGCTCTGACGACTGGATGGCGCCGACGCGCGCTCGCCCATGCGGGTCGTAACACGGCGGCTGAGGCGAGGTGTGCAATCCCAGTTGTCGGGCGTCGTGTGAAAGCCGTTGGAGTTGAGGCGTCGTTGAAGCCTGTGTCGTCGTGCACAGGCTGGTGTAGAGGTCACCCGGGGCCAGCAGTTCCTGCTTGATTTTCATGTTGACAAACCGAGTGTCTCCCGATCCGACAGAGTTGGCGCCTCCCAGCTTACCACGTCCGCATTCGAAGCTGACAGCCGGCAACTCCTGATCCGTCTTCGAGTTACCAAGGCCTGCCCTGCGCGGACTGGACGGGCTGGCATAAGACAAGGCGTCACAGAGAACTGTTGCGCAGGGGACACTGGTCACGGATTCGGAAAGGCCCGCACTGCACGGAGCGGATTGGCTGTTGTACGTCATGACGTCACAGGGCACCGCCGAGCGGGAGATATTGGTCTGTCGTGGCTGCGGGACCGACGGCTCCGAGCTGAGGCATGGCTGGTTTGGCGGGCTCTGCTGAAGACCAACGGGCGTCGGAGGCCTGAACCAACTGAGTGGAGCTTCCGAGGACGAAACTGATGTGAAGCTAGCTTCCAGCTGCTGGCCACTGCTGAACTCCTCTGTGAGGGAAACGAGCGAGAGATGGCCATTTTTTTGCAGCACTTGGTCGATGTCGTGCCAGATCTGCGGCCGAGAAGGTGACGCTGCGTTATGGGTAAGGTAATGGGCACCAAAATACAATTCTAAAAACATTTTGCGCATCAACTTCGCGGTAGAAATGCATTTATTGCGGATTGCATGGCGTGGAAACCAATGTCAAGTACTATTTCTGCAAAATGAGAACCTACTGTTTATTTATATCATCAAATCAAAGTGGATTCAACTAAAGAAAAGCGGATTATGCTTAGGAAATCAATCAAAAAAGGTCAACAAGGAGTCACAAATTCCATGACAAGAATAAGAAATTCACATGACGAGGCCATTCATCTCACGGCACCCATTCCCAGGGGTTAACACGAGGCTCGCAGGATTCAGTCACGCTCGCTTTAATGGCAGCGTGATGTGACGCCACATGTCGAACAGCTGATGTACGTTGTCACTGTCCTCAGGTAGCTTGATGTGTACCGAGCCCGTGACAGGTACCGTTGCATTAGACCCACGACTAAAGCGACCACCTGTTGAAGCTCGGGTCAGATCTTATGTTAATGGTTGTAATTCAACTGCTAATTTATTCAGGTCACTCTCATGCAGTGTCACCACTCGCTCAGCTTGCAAATGTGGCGGCGGCATACTCATCAGCCCGGATTAGAGCGACCTCGACGACTTTGCCAGGCTGAGGCACCCGACCTCGTAACATCTAGTCCGATCATCTTCCTGGACCGTGGCCACCTTTCTTCATTCTCCTCCCCCTCCCCTCCCCTCCCCCCCCCCCCATCGACCCAGCCATCTCTGGTGCGGCATGACGCCGGCTCGCGAGCAGCACTATAAGCCCGGCTAACTGTCACGGTCCTGATACGGCGCTCCTATACGGCCGTCTCGGCGCCAGCCGTCCGCCGGCCACCCGCGCCCCAGCCAGCCACAAAGCTGGCCCTAAATCTCCCCGTATCGAGTCATCATTGCATATTCACGCTGTCCATCCTCGATGATTTATGATAGGAGCGTGTCCGGCTAATTCACGGTAAGTGGTCGCCGCATGTCGGAGGTTGAGCCTCTGCCATTGTACGCCGACGGCCAAAGGGCTTTCAATTAGCGTGTAATATTGCCTGAGCTCAGTCGCCTCGGGGCGGAGCCGGCGAAGGACTCGTGCTGCTGAAGTCATGGCAGATTTGTGAGGGTGTTGTTGGCTCGCGACTCGTGGAACGCGCGGCAAATTGATACATCCCGGGTTCCGCACTGCACCGCGTTATCCACGGTATGTCCACGGAGGCGGCCCTGCTTCATGCTGTCACCTTCGCTACCGGGAATGTCGACAATGCACGCGTGACCCCGCTCACCACGACTTTCGGCAGCGCCCAACATGGCCGCCTCCTGGAAGAGCTGCGGTGGCACAGGATCGACGACAAGCCGTTCGGTGAATGACTCAGTGGACGAGCCAAGTCCATCCAGGGGCACCGGAGTGCCGACTGACTCCCACGGCGTCACGCTGCGCTCTATCTTGGGCTCTGCACTTAGCACGTACTAGCAACGGTTATCACTGTACTTTACGTTTATGAACGGCACGCCACCGCATGTACCGCATGGTGAGATTAATAGGTACATAGGCAATGTACAGTTCCTTGATTCCGATCTGTATTTCATTCCTTACAGCCTAAAACAGCATGCTGAAAACAGTAAAGATGGGAAGACAGGTTAAAAAATGTGTCGTTAGGCACTGAAATTATTACGCTCGAATCACGTAGCCAGAACCCAGACTCAAACTGATCTAAACGTTTCCGAAACTCTGAAATCACCCAAGCTTCTTCGATGCAAGCACTGCGTGTCGCTGCCCATCCAAGGATGCGGCTTCGACGCCACACTAATGCACATCGGGTGTCGCACGACGATGCGGCTGCATCTGATCGGCCTACACAGCGCGCGGCGCCGTATGCCTCGCCAAAACATGCAGCTGCTGCTGCAGGCGGAGGTGTTTCCCCACGTTTCCCCACGTTTCCCCACGTAAGGCATGCCTGTTCGAGAGGGAACACCAGTGCACCGCTGATGCGACCGCACAAAGGCATGAGCCTCGGTCCCGGCATCGCTTCTGCCTTTGGATGCTGTGATGGAAGGGGCGACACACTGATGGGGCTCAAATAACCCCGGCTGGAAGGTTTGCTGGAAGGGCTGCTGCTGGTTTGCGTGGTGTTTAAACCAGTGTTTCTCACGCGTGCTTTAGTAGAAAAGAACTAAATTGGGTATTAAAAACGAAATACGTAAAGGATAGAACAGGTGGGAGCGACATCCATCGTTTGTCACTGTAGGCCTGTCAAAACAGCGGCACATTTCTATCTCGGAGACGTTTTCCTTTCGACATCCCGCACCTATTCGCAACTTCACGTTCGCGGAATTTCATTATTTTTTCCATGGGAACAAATGCGCAAACGTAGAACAAAGAACTGCCACACAATAACACTTCGTTAGAAGTTTACCGGCTATTTTGATAGGCCTGAGGATACGTGACGTGTTTAGCTTCACTCCCCCCCCCCCCCTACGCAAGTTATCCTATTTTGTGTGCATTTCCGAGTTAGGCACTTGTAAAATGTGGCGTGACCGAGTAAGGTATCAGTCGAATGAACGCCAGCCTGAAAACGGCCGCCACGTACAATGTTGCGCAAAGCCTTACGTTCAACAGCTCACCAGATCTGCCTTGTGAACTGAATGCCAGTCGTTCTGATGCTTCCTGCCCTTGCATTAGATTAACTCCGAACCATCAGTGGCAAATCCAGTCCATGCAAACTAACTTTTTTCCCTCATTTTCTCATTTTCTTTTTTGTGCAACGCGAGTGTGGACCGGGCTGCTCACGGATGCAAAATGCTCGCCCAGCTTACCCGTTAGGCCAGACTGGCTGAGAACAGGTGATTACCTTGCCACACCAACCGAGAACCTAGTTAGCGGGCTTTTACTTCTTAGAGTATGGTGTATCTGAATGTGTCACCTACTTTTACCAATGTCGCTGGTGTGGAGTGCTTAAAACCACGGCATACCTGTTTTCAAAATACATGATTTGGCAATGACTAAGCTAATAGCAATGCTTAAGATTGAGGCCGGAGAAAAACATACAGCACTAAAACATGGCGCATACCCTAGAAAAGGAGAGAAATTAACCCAGGCGGAACACAACCAATATGGAACAGTTTTCTTGGAAAATGTTGCACGTTTCAAACATAACTGTTTCGCACATTGTTAGTGTAAGACATCCAAGAAAGTGCACTGGGGAAGCAAAATGTTTTAAGGAAACCAGAAAACCAAAAAATCATGCCTAGTTGAGTAAGTGGTAGCTTTAAGTATATTTGCTTCATTTGCTTGGTATTTTTATTTTCGTTAGGTTCTACATTTTAACTCTGTAATCAACCTGTTTGGTCTTTGCAACGACCCAATAGGCGACAATTTCCATCCGTGGCCTTTCTTTTAACTATTTATGCATGTCGTTTGCGATCTGTCACTTTCATTTCAAAAGGTACACATTACGTAAGTGTCGTAGCACTAAAACGGTTGATAAAATATGATTTGTGAAAGCAATTTCCTTTGTGATTTGGCGGCGGCAAGCACAGCCATTACCGGTCGCTAGCTGACGTCGTCAATTACCGACTAACTTAGTGAAGTGTGGAATTAGCGGCCAAGAGGCTCGGGTAGCTTTGTCCCTGAACGTGTTTGCAAAAAGAAAGGCACGGGGTTCGATTCCCGATGCCCACCCTTCTTTCCAGGGGGAGACAGGCATCGCCATATAATCTCAGCTGCCGAATGTATCGTGAAGTCTCAATGACAATGACATTTGCAACGAAAAGTACCAGTATCACCACAATTACAGGTGCCCTCAGTGCAATCTTGAGAAAACTTTATGCCAAATACGCAACAGCCGTCCAGCTTGCTCAGTTGGTTGAAGTGCCTGCACTCCGATCACCCACCGGTGAAAGAGTGGGTTCGAGTCGCTTTAAGCGCTCGCTAGTTACCTCCTGACCGTGATGACCTCCGTCCGGCGGCGGCGACCGTGCTAAATGTCAGGGGGTTAGAGGGCGGGACAAACAGTGCAGTGCACTGCAGCTCCTGGAGTCCTCGCCGCAGGATTCCATTGTTGACCCATAGGTCTGCAGTTGGAGGGTGGTTTCAGAGCTAACGCGGTAAGCAGTGCTTAGTGTGGGCGCTGATCCCAGAAATACATCTGATCAAACAGTACGGACTGTACCTGTATGGAAATGAAAGTGGGAACTAAATCACCAATGGTATGGATGGGGAGCAATCAAGGGCAAGAATGGGACGTCGCCGCTGCCCGCGGCCGGCGGCGGCGTCCTGGACATCGGCACGAGCGCCGACGCTCCGCTGGGGGCGCGGCGCCGTCGTGACGCCGCACGGTCCGTTCACGGATGCTCGTGGCCTTGGCGTCCTCCTCGTGGCGTCACAGCGGTCGGCGGCGCTTCGCCATTCACGGCCGAAGGTGCAGTGATGAGCGGGCACACCCCAGCTCCGCGGACATCCGAGGTGACGCGGCGAGCAGCAGCCGCTTCGGCGTCTTCGCGGCGTCTTCCGCGCGGCCGTCCGACCGGGGGCGCCTTGGCGGCGACGTGCGGCGGCGGGCCCCGCGTCGGTCCAGCGCCGACGCGTGGAGGACGCGAACAAGCGGCCGCCGGGAGTCCTCAGCGGGGCCCGGACTCCGCTGTGGGCGAGGACGTGCCTCAGCTGTTGCGCCAGGTGGGCAGCTGAAGCGGGCCAAGCGCAGACGATTGCGGATGGTTAACCTGGGAGCCGGTCCACATGGACCGGATGCGCCCAGTCCGCAAGCGACAATAGTCGGCCGGCGCGGACTCGCACAGCGGACTCGGTGTGTCGTCATCTTCGCACAGCGTCGCATTGCAGTGCTTGGGACGGGTGGCCGGCAGTGAGAGCATGACGAGGCAGCGTCGATGACGTCACTGTCCATGTCCGACCAGCACGCGCTACGCCCCCTCGCGAGCACGCGGGCACGGCGCTACGCCTCTTCAATGTCTTGGAATAAGAGCTGCGGACGCGTGAGGCCACGCGGCGGAGACCGATTGCGATGATGAGCTGAAGTCTGTGCAAGCACGGGCGATGTGCACACAACACTCTCATGCCAAAATGTTGCGCGCATCCTGGTGCGGGCTGACCGCCGGCTGCAGCTCGTGCTGTTCAGTAGACACCTCTTCACGACATCTCGGCGTGCCCGGTGTCCACGGCTTCCTTCGGCGACCTCTCGGACCTTCTCCAAACTCGGATTGACGAGTAGCACCAGACGTGGATCATGGTCTGTTTGTTACTCCGACTGGTCCAGAAAGAGTATGCAGAGTGGTGCCAATATCAGTTAGAGGGTATATAGACAAACGCGCTGCCTCAAGCCCAAGTGCAGCTCCGCGCGGTGACGGCAAAGAATGCAACGAGAATGCCACCCCTTCTAAGGTTTGCGTCCCTCCCCTCGCGGAAATCCTGTGTGCAAGCTTGATTGTCCTGCCGCACTACCCCACAGTCAGCGGCTTAACAAACAAAGGCTCGCCACCAGGCCGACCGTCGGGCCAACAAGCTCGCTCAAGATTAAAACTTCGTCATAGTCAAAGCAAGGAGTACGAATGGGTGTTGTTACCATCTTTATTCCACTATGGTTCAAGTGACAGTAACTCGACACAGCTTCGCCGTGTTTGTCCTGCTCCATATATGAACCATCGACGACACTGTCGGCCTGGATGACTTGGTGAGCCGTGGAACTGTCCGTTCCCACAGTGGTTTCACGGCCTGCGCGTCCAACACTATCACCTTTTCTCCACGAACCCAGGTTTGCCAGTGCAAACCATCGCCCGGAAAAGCGAAGTAAAATACTCCGAAATCCTGCGTAGTGATGAAGGGCACCACACTACGGTCAGTAAGTAAATCCGTCGGTGTATGATTGCTGGACATGCGCTTCCACCGCACAGGGAAGCGCGATGTCAGCTCTCATAGCCGCTGGCGCAGCAGCGCGAGTGCAGTGCTATTGTTAGCAGTGCGGCCCACAGCCGTGTAGTTTCTGAATGTATTGAAGAGAACGTTCCACATTTAAAGAAATTGAGCCAAGCATTAGATACCATTAAATATGATCATTCATAGCTGTTGATAAACCGGCGGAAAAGTGGAAAAGGCTGCTCTAAACAGCGCAACTTCTCTGTCAAGTAAATGTGCTCCTCAATACGTCATTGCTTGATTACTTCATCGTCCATGCACAACGTTGATTGAGAGCAAATTGATGGCCGTTTTATATGGAAGTTAGCTCACGGAAAGCTCACGAACGCCAGATATGAACGACTTGACGATCAGGCTCTTCTTGGCCTTTATCGCCGCATGGCCAATGTAATGGCCTGATTTGAATGACGTTATTATGACGTCATTGGATGCCTCGCTGACCTTGAAGTAGTCTACTCGACATAGTCTGCACATCTTCGTGGGCGTGTAGCTCAGAAACTTAAAGGGCTTAGATCTTAAGACGCGTTCAGCTGTGAGCTGCACCAAATGGGGGTTATTTCTTGTGTGGCTTTTTCAGTTCAAAATCCAAAACAAATATGAAACGCTCCCTTTAAGACTTCCATACGTGCCCGCGCATGCACATTGTGAGCATGTTGAGTGTCTGATCATTCGAGCTTCTGACCACATAAGTGTCATCGCATGCAAATGTATCTTCTCCGCCCTCTCCATCACGTTCACATTTCCATTCGCTCACATTAAGATGTGAGTGCGGAACTCAGCATTCAACGCATGTTCTCCCTTATCGCAACCGCGCTTTGACCGCGACTTACAACGCGCGAGGTGTGCACCCACCTGCTGGCTTTCGACGCTACTGTCCCCGCCGCCGGGCACGTCCTGCGCCTCGCCCCGCAGCATGGCTCGCCCGCCGGCCCCCTCCAGCTGGCATGAGTGCCCGGCACCTGGGACCCGGGCCGCCTCGGGCTCCGCCACTGATGAGCCGCGCTCACGACCGGCATCAACTGCCCCGGCCGGGGCGGCGGGCTCGTCAGCGCGCGAGGGGGCACCGGCCGGACCGGTCGGCTCGTGCCGGCCACGTCACCGGCGACCAACCGGCGCCTCCGCCGGCTCGCGGCCGCCAATCACGGCCGACGACCGCGTCGGGTGCCGCCGCTGCATATTCATTCATGCCAGGCCAAACTTGGCGGTCCTCTGAGCACTGGGGCTGTCCGTGTCTGGCCGATCAGGAGCGCATGTGACCGCCTGCACGTTCGGGTAACGGACTGGCCGCAAATAGTCCATCAGGCGGGGACCAGGAGCGATGTAAGACGAATGGTGCTGAGAACGTGGAGGGGTGGAGTGTAGCTGGCAGTCAGAGGTGCGGTGATAGACAGTGAACCAGAAAAAGGAATGTAAAAGCAGCGGTGCCCTATGACCGGCAAGACAAAGACGGAGTGATGAAAGAGATGCATGTGACAATGAAATGCGGTCGGTAGGCCAGGACAAATCTGTCGAGCAAACCTGTTAAAGTCATCAAGAATGGCTCGTGGGCGGAGGACAGTGACCAAATGCGGGTAGGAAGGGCAAGGTGGTCATACGACATACGGCATCTGTCATACGACAGAGCTCAGCGAACGAGTGAGAGAGTCAGTTCGTTGGACGACCCTGAACCTGTGCTGACCGTGGCGACTGAACGATTGGCGACGAAGCGAGCAGCACAGAACCAGACGCCCTGACCAGTACAGAGTACTTAGGGGTATGCATCTGCGAGGTGTAGGTGTCACAGTGGCCAGCGCGCTGCCCTTTCGTTGCTGAAACGTTGGCCCAACGTGCCATTTGCGAATATCTGCACACATCGGATGCGCGAGTAGAGATGTGTACAAACAAGGAGAAATGAATACGCTTGAAAGAGAGCATAGTACGCCACGTACTTGGAAGCAGCGAAGGTGCACTTGGCATTGCTGATTATATGTTCATTGAACGTATTCTGTAAAACTAAATGATCCAAGGTCAGGTCAGGTCAGGTCAGGAAGCAGGCCTGATCTGGGAGCAGTTAAGGTCAGGTCAGGGAGGTCGGACGCCTTCTCAGAAGAACTAGTGACGCCAGGCGACAGCTCTCATCTCGGTGACCTCCTGGGCTGCGTCAGGGCTACCGGCGCGTCAGCAGTGTGCAGCGGTGACCTCCCGCGTAGCCCGCCTCTCATGCCGTAACAGGCCAGACCCGCACCGGCAGGAGACTTCTGGGACGAGGTGGTAGCGCTGATGAAATAATGACTCGGATCATTGAACCAGTCGTCGACGTCACCGTTTACACGGCGCTTCCGACTGCCGCTTACGCGGCCATCGCCAGGTGCTTGATTGGCCCTGGGAGTGGTACGGACCTGCGGCTTGTGGTAGGGCAGAGCGCAGCTTTGTTTGCATCTCAGCCTCGGACAGCTTCTGGCGGCCGCTGCACTGCTGCCAGCCAACGATCTTCCGATTCGTAGACTGATATTCTGAGCACTGCGCTGTCGAGAAAGGCAAAGGGTGGTGTGCCAGTAATTGCTTCTGCTTGTTTCCAGGACTCTCTTACATGGTAGCTATATCATGTCAATACCTGCGTACGTACTGGGTGATACGGTTTGAAGTCAGCGTCACAGTGCCCTCCCCCCCCCCCCCCCCCCCCCCCCCCCCCCCCCCCCCCCCCCCCCCCCCCCTCCCTCCCGTGGTGCTTTGCACTTCTCACTGCGACTCTGTGCTGATGTTCTCTGCAACTTTATTTCATGCTGGTTGGTGTTCTCCGTCTGAGCTCGTGACGGAGAACAATAACATTGACATGGCCTCACGATATGACCTTATACTACGATCTCATGACATGACCTCATGATATGACCTCATGCCGTGACCTTATGATACGATCTCATGATATGACCTCATGCCGTGACCTCATGGCACGACCTCATGACATGACCTCATGACATATCCTCATTCTATGACCTCCTGACTTGACCTCACGACATGACCTCATGATATGGCCTAATGACATACCCGCTGTCATGCCAAGCCTCCTGTTTTTTTACCCGGGCGACTGCCCTTTCGTGCTCCTTTAGTTGGGTGGAAGTGCATCCGCATTTTACCTTCATTATCATGTTCCACAGCTACAGAGATACAGTACGCGTAGTTCTGCACGTTTCCCACAGGCGTCGCTGATGTGACCATGGTTATGGTTCTCCGTAACGTGATGCTGCTTCTGAGGACGGTTCTGATGCAGCGCTCGCAGATGCATCGAAGATTACCTGTTTCGGATCTCCTCCGTTTGCCGCTCCTCAGCGAACAGGAGGGGAGGACCGGGACCAGATCTGCGACAGTAGTGAAACGCAAGCCAGCTATCTGCGAACCAACGGCGGCTGACCGACACCTTCGATCCTGAGTCTTGTCATAGGAACGCATGTCAGACAGGCGTCTTGGCATGACTGCAACGCTGCACAGAAGCCAAACACGCACGTGACGAAGCTAAAAATAGCGTTAAAACGCCTATTTGAGACTATCCAAAGAGCCAGCTACCCGAAGAAGACCGTATTGGGGAGCACCACCGCCCCCCCCCCCCCCCCCCCCCCCCCCCCAATCTGCCAACTGAGTAGGAAACTACACCCCTGGGCACAGACATAATCAAACGGCGGGTGGTCCCAGCAAGCACGCTGAGCAGACAAGGTGTGTATCTGTCACCTCCAACCAACCTTTCTCTAAAAACGGCAGCGTTCAGGACGGAAAAGTCGACAAATGTGTCGGAAAGGTCACTTACATATTTCGTTAACATTGGCAATCATGAATTTACGATGAGTCAAAATCGGCAACGTCGGTAAGGCAACAGCGAACGATAATAGTCGTGCATGCTTCAAAATAGTTGTGCATGCACTTCGATCGAGAATGGCATCCTGCTTCGACTTCGACTTCGGCATCCTGCATCGGCGACACACGCATGTTCCCCGATGCCACATTCTTGTGCATATGCAGCTTTGGCGTGCGACCCTTCCCACCACCGCAGACACCGTCCGTGTGTCGAGCTGCACTCCTCGCTCGGCGGCCAGTGTGTGCTCTGAGTGTGGGTGTCATGCGTCCCGTCCCACCACGACAGACACCGTCCGTGTGTCGAGCTGCACTCCTCGCTCGGCGGCCAGTGTGTGCTCTGAGTGTGGGTGTCATGCGTCCCGTCCCACCACCGCAGACACCGCCTGTGTGTCGAGCTGCACTCCTCGCTCGGCGGCCAGTGTGTGCTCTGAGTGTGGGTGTCATGCGTCCCGTCCCACCACCGCAGACACCGTCCGTGTGTCGAGCTGCACTCCTCGCTCGGCGATCAGTGTGTGCTCGGGGTACGGGTGTCACGTGTTCCGTCCCACCACGACAGACACCGTCCGTGCGTCGAGCTGCACTCCTCGCTCGGCGGCCAGTGTGTGCTCTGAGTGTGGGTGTCATGCGTCCCGTCCCACCACCGCAGACACCGTCCGTGTGTCGAGCTGCACTCCTCGCTCGGCGGCCAGTGTGTGCTCTGAGTGTGGGTGTCATGCGTCCCGTCCCACCACCGCAGACACCGTCCGTGTGTCGAGCTGCACTCCTCGCTCGGCGGCCAGTGTGTGCTCTGAGTGTGGGTGTCATGCGTCCCGTCCCACCACCGCAGACACCGTCCGTGTGTCGAGCTGCACTCCTCGCTCGGCGGCCAGTGTGTGCTCTGAGTGTGGGTGTCATGCGTCCCGTCCCACCACCGCAGACACCGCCTGTGTGTCGAGCTGCACTCCTCGCTCGGCGGCCAGTGTGTGCTCTGAGTGCGGGTGTCATGCGTCCCGTCCCACCACCGCAGACACCGCCTGTGTGTCGAGCTGCACTCCTCGCTCGGCGGCCAGTGTGTGCTCGGGGCACGGGGTGTCACGTGACATGAAAACTGCTGTCCCGTGACGTTCAGTGACGTGGAGTGGCGGCTCGGTGACGTGGAGTGGCGGCTAGGTGACGTGGAGTGGCGGCTCGGTGACGTGGAGTGGTGGATCGGTGACGTGGAGTGGCGGCTCGGTGACGTGGAGTGGCGGCTCGGTGACGTGGAGTGGCGGCTCGGTGACGTGGAGTGGCGGCTCGATGACGTGGAGTGGCGGCTAGGTGACGTGGAGTGGCGGCTCGGTGACGTGGAGTGGCGGCTCGGTGACGTGGAGTGGCGGCTCGGTGACGTGGAGTGGCGGCTCGGTGACAGCCCTTCCGACCGTTTGATAAGATCGGTGTTATTGGCTGCGTTAAAAGTGATGTTCGGCAACAGGTGCATCCGCACCCGTCACACTTCTCGTCTCGGCATCGAACAACCTGATCTAAGGCGTCATCACATCGAGCAATGCTGATTTGGTTCAGGGATTGAGATTGACATTCTTTATAATATGACGAGTGCCGGCTATCTGCTCATAAAGATTTCTGAAAACGCCCACAAAAGGTAACGTTTCAGGTCAGTCCAAAACATTTCTGAAGAACTTGGCAGGGAGGCTACCGCTATTCGGGGAACACCCAAATGATGGATCGCGTGCGACACTGCTCGATCGCGCCCTCATCCCTGTACTTTCTGTGTCAGTAACGGTGGCGCAGGCAGGGGAGCGGGCACACGGGAAACGTGCCCCTACTTAGGTCCCAAGGGGGTTGATCATTGGGGGCCCGAACAATACAAATCGTTGGCCCGTGTCTCACCCCTGCTTGGGATATATACCCCCCCTCCCCTCCTCCACCAGGCCAAAACCGACACGGAGCCAACTGTTCGATGTTGGTGATTTCTGGGCTAAACAGGGGCTCGTATTGTAGGGGGCAAGGACCCGACGATTAAGGGGCCGATTTGGGGGCCCGAAGGGCTTAAAGGGCCGGCTAGAAGTTGTATTAAGGACCGGTCCGCATTGCCGAGCCCTCATATCCCAATC